AACAGTGCAGGGTGCTGCTGGAGGAGCTGCTGGGTGTCACCCTTCGCTCAGCAATGCTTCTCTTCTTCCTCCTGCCCTGGGGGGTGGTGTCTCACACAGCCCCGAAGCCGAAGCGACAACGCCTGGAAGCTGTTAAGAAGCTTAACTTCGGCGTGGATGATGAGTTGGCTCCTGACGTGCTCCAGGATGCTGGCCCAGAGGCACCTACTGCTCTCCAGACTGCCGGGTTGGCCACCTTGAACCCTATTTTTAGCAGGGGCGAGGGAAGGCTCTTTTCCCTCGCCCCTGCTAAAAGAACCTGGTGTTCTCCAGCTCGGACAGCCTGGAGATGAGCGGCATGGCCCTGCTGCAGACCACACCATCCTCCGAGAAGAAGCGGGTCCTCAAGCGGCCACCCATCCTGGAGGACTACATCAATGTGACGTCCACTGAGGGCACCAGGGTCTTCATGGTCATCAGGGATGATCCCTCCAGGACAGGGGTGGAGGTAAGGAGGGATCTGAAGGTCGAGTTTAGTTCTTTGTGACATCCATCCAGTTCAGGAAGGGACTTTTGATGAAGTGTGAAATGTCTGTGCTGAACATCGGTATGAATGTCAGTGTGAGTCCTCTGTTCCTCGCAGCTCCCCGATTCCCTGGGCTGGAATGCACGCAGGCCGCTCCACTTGCTGGGGGTGCCTTTCTCCTACCTGAAGGAACAAGTGGTTGAAGAGGTATCACCTTTTATCCCAGCCTTCCCAACTTCCCCTGTCACCCCTGGATAGCCACAGCATTGGCTCCCAAATCCCCGCTCCCTCGAGTGGGGCATCTCTGACCCCCCTTCTTGCCCTCTTCATGCTCAAAAGCGCCGAAGGCACGTTCTGGAGGCATCACAGCAGCTGACGGAGATAATAAACAGGTGAGATGTTGGGATGAAATCCCATTCCTATCCCTGCCACGCTGTCGGACGTGGCTCCCGAGATGCTCCAGTAGGGTCCAAGTTCTGGGAACCTGTGAGCATCCTCAGCATCCCCAGCTTGGGAAGTCTGGGTGTGATTCCCAGCCCTGCCCCAACTCCCTGGGTGGTTTGGGGCAAGTTAATTCTTTCTTGCAGTTGCCTTGAGAGCGAAACCATTGCTGAGAGCCCAGAGCTCACCGGGGAAGCGGAGCCAGCGGACGAGGAGGAGTCTGCGCTACATTGCCTCTGGGTGGACAAATTTACGCCCCGGCGCTACATGGAGCTGCTCAGTGATGATGTGAGGTCCTAGGATAAGTGGGGGCTTGGGGTTTGGGGGCACTCACTGCTTTTATAACTCTCCTTAATGCCATGGGATCGTGGTTTTACCGTGCGGCCTTTGCTGGTGGGGCTTTCAGAAGCAGTGGCTGCAGGGGCTCTGTCTGTGCTTGCCCTGCCTGGGGACAGTCCTGCAGAGAGCTTGGGATGGGGGGGTTTCAGCTGTAGACTGTGGACCTTCCGACAAAAGAGACTATGAAAGATGACCAAAATACGACAAAAAAGATGGGGTGGACTTTAGCCAGGAACTGCTGGCTATTTTGATTTTTTTTGAATATTAGGAGTTCTGTAGGGGATTGCAAATTATGGAAGAGGCTGAGAAGCACTGGGTTGAGCCAAGACAGATGGAGAACAGCAGGGACGGGGCTGACATGACTTGTCCACGCTGGTTTTTAAGCTATGAAGGAGAGGCCATCCTTGGCCAGATCCTTCTGAGATTCAAAAGATTTGCTTGCTTTCTCGCCTGACATGCAGTACACGAACCGCTGCCTTCTGAAGTGGCTCAAGCTCTGGGACACGGTGGTGTTTGGGAAGGAGAAGGCTGTGAAGAAGGCCAAGCCCAGTGCTGAGGCTCATCCTCCTTTCAACCAGCCCAAGGAACAGCAGAATAAGTGGAAAACGAAGTTCCAGCTCACAGAGGAGATTCTGGAGGCTGAGCTAGACCAGCACAAGAGACCCAAATACAAGGTGAGCAGGACAGGAGGCTGCTGTGGTGGGTCTCCTCTCCTATCCGTTCCCCTTGTCCCACCAGCATGGTGGGGAGCGGGCTCTTCCAGCACAGATCTTACAGAAATGGGATTCCTTGTTTCTCCTTAGCAATTATGGGGTTTTCTCATTTCTTTTTCTGTTTCGGCTCAAGTAACATGATAACAAGGGGAGGAGATCAGACTTTCCCCAGCCAAACTAAATGGGCTGGTTGAAGAAAAACTCACGCTTTTGAGCAAAGGCTGGCCTTGACTTGATCTGTTTGGGGCAGACATGACACGCCTTTGAGCAAGAGTTTCTGCCTCTGGAAGAGAACAATGATGCTCAAATGCTAAAGGGAGCAGAGATAACATACCCAGGCCAGCTAGCCAGCTTCAACCTGTCCGGTGAGAGGGTATAAAAAAGGGGAAACAAAAGCAGATACTAACAAGAGCGTAGCTTCTCAGGAGCGTAGCTCCGTAAGGGATTTTGCTCAGCCTTTTCTATCTACTTGCCCTGCAAACTTAAACATGTGCATGAGAGATGCTGCCAGGATGACTCTCACCTCTGAAGGTTTCTGTTGTATTCTCCTTCCCACACTGACTTTCCCTTTTCTCAGTATGCCTACAAACCAGTGCAGCAGCTCCCAAGGGTCGAAGCAGACAGGTTTGCAGGCTGCACAGCCTCCTCTCTGTGCGTGGCAGCCTTGGTTGGTGCTGGAGGAAGCCCTGCCTCGCTGACCTTACCCCTCTGCTGCAGGTAGCCCTGCTCTGTGGCCCACCCGGTTTGGGAAAGACCACGCTGGCCCACGTCATTGCGAAGCACGCGGGGTACAACGCCGTCGAGATGAACGCCAGGTGAGTCTGTGCCGGCTGCCCAGCCCAGCCCTGCCCTGCCCCAGAAGCCGGCAGAGACGGTGCCGTGCCGGAGGTGGTGCTCAGCCACGGCAGCCTGGCACCGGCTTCTCTTGCAGTGATGACCGCAGCCCAGAGGTTTTCAAAACCCGCATCGAAGCTGCCACCCAGATGAAGTCTGTGCTGGGTGCCAACGAGAAGCCCAACTGCCTGATCATTGATGAGATAGACGGCGCGCCCGCGGTAAGCCTAGCCTGCATCTGGTCCACCTTTTCCATTAACTGCGTAATTATTGCCCACCTAGCAGCTCATCCCTTGCTCCATTTTAGGAATGGTTTCTTGCCTTTGAACAGCAAGAATTCATCCCTCCTGACCTTGATTTTTTTTTTTTTTTTTTTTTTTTTCCCCCCCCCCCGAGGGATGGAGAGCTGAGCCCCCCGCCCTGAGCCAGGAGGCAGCTGCCATTGCCTCCAGCCACAGCCTGCCTGCACCGAGTTATCTGCTGCCAGACCTGCGGCTTGGAAGTACCTTATGAAAAGTTTTCCTGAAACCCCCCCAGTTTTGTGTCTGCCAGGGTGACTCGTAGCTAGGTGTGAGCGTATGGTTTGTCTGTGCCAAAGCACGCAGTGGCGTACAGGCAGCTGCCAAATAACCTGTCTGTCTCTGAGCGGAGCATTAATGGCTGGATTTCTTCCTCCGCCAGGGTCACTCAGAGACCCCTCTGCTTCCCTTTGCCAGGTACGTCCCTGCCCTCCGGCCGCTGCGGCAGCA